GTTTGTCATCTGGTCGGGTCTAGCTTTGCCCTGGTCGGGTCTAGTTCTTCCTTGGTTGGGTTTAGTTTTCTCCTGGTCGCGTTTAGTTCTCCCTTGGTTGCGTTTAGTTTTCGCGTGGCCGTGTTTAGTTGCCCCTGGTCGCGTCTAGTTTCTTCTGGTCGCGTTTAGTTTTCTCCGCGGTCGCGTTTGGTTTTCCCTGGTCGCGTTTAGTTTTCTTTTGTCGCGATTAGTTCTTCCCTGGCCGCGAGGAGGAGGAGGAGCGCGCCGCCGCTCCAGGTCGCCACCTGGGCCGTCGTCGTCGTCGTCATCGTTGTCGTCGTCGTCGTCGTCGCCCCTTTCGGCGTCGCCGCCCCTTCCCCCCTTCCTCCTCCCCACGACCAGGGAAAAACTAAACGCGACCAGGAGAAAACTAAACGCGACCAGGGGGGGCTACACGCGACCAGGGTCGTGTTTAGTTTTCTCTTTGTCGTCGTCGTCATAAGAATCGACGTCGCCGGCATCGGGATGAACCACCGTAAAGAGAAGTCATAAGAAACAAGATCACTCCGAAAATCCATTAGGACCTCGCCACAGCGTTCCGTCACATTTCGGCTCGAGCCCGCTGCTACTCAGTGCTCCTCGCTTCGCCGCTAGCGCATTCATTTCGCCTTATTCCGTCGCGCGCGAGGCCGCTGCCTCTGGCGCGTCGCGCGCTGCGCGGTCTCCATGGCGGCGCAACGGCCGAACTTCGAGACCGCGCGCGTCGAAGCGGTCGAAGCTCGCCTGCTGGAGCAACGCGTCAGCGACAAGAAGATCACTTGGCACGTCGCGCTGAATAACCACGCCTCGACGCGCCCTCAAGTGCACGGAGGCGCTTTGGTCCCAGCCGTCAGCAAGTGCAAGGAATACGCTGCCACTGGCGCGGGCTGGCGGTGCACCCTGACTTTGCCGAACAGCTTTGCGCCAGGAGATGGCCGTCAGCTCGTTGCGATAGGGGAAAGCGCGACGAAAGAGGAAGCGTCGGAACTCGCTGGCCTCCGAGCCGTCGCTTCGCTCGCCGGCGAAAACCCAGGCCAGTTTGTGCTCCGACCGAAGCGCTCGAGGGTACCGCCCGACGAGCTCGTGGCCAACATGCCCGGCGCCGCCGCCGACCCTGCCCCTGGCGGGCACGCGCTGCCGGCGCGCGCCCCCGCGCGCCTCCAGGGTGCGGGCTCGGAGGCTAACGCGCCTGACGCTGACGCGCGCTTGGTTGATCTAGTCCGCGACGTTCTCAAAACGCACGGCGGTGAGTTCGATCCGTCGCGGATTCCCCGCAGCAAGTTGCGGTGGCGCGACGAGCGCGCGTTCGAGACGTTCAACAGGCTTTTGGCGCCTGGGGGGCTGACGGACTTCCTCGACAGACACTCCGGCGAATTCGCCTGGCGCGAGAAGGCCGACAACAAAGGCATGCTCATCACATGGGCGAAATTGGGCGCGGCAGGAGGAGCGCGCCCCGCCACGGGCGCGCCCCGCCATGGGCGAAGCGGGCGCGGGGGCTGCCCCTGGCGCGCCCCGCCATGGCGAGCGCGCCCCAACGCGAAGCGGCCTCAGGAGGCGGCCTGAAGCGGCCGAAGGGCGCCTGCCAACTGACCGCCCTCAGGAAGCGGCCTCAGGAAGCGGCCAGAATGCGCCGCCTCTGGCGTGCCCCGACAATTCACCGCCCCCAGGAAGCGGGCAGAATAAGAGCACCCCTTGGGAAGACCTCCACTAGGAGATGGTTGCCCGAGACACCTGCCTCTGGCGTGGCCGAGTCATTGCCTCTGGCGCGCCCGTGACGCTGCCTCTGGCGCGCCGTCTGAGGCCCAGGCGGCGTCGCTGCAGCTGGCGCCGCGACACTTGCGAGCGGAAAAATTAGTCGCCATCACCACCATCGTAGTCGCCATCATAACCATCGACCTCATCAGCGCAATCAGCGACACCATGACCACCGATATCACGACCATCGTCGTCATGACCACCGTCATCATGACCACCGACATCATGGCCATCGTCATCATGACCACCGACATCAATGGCATCATCAGCGCCACCGTCATCATCATCGCCATTACCATCAGCACGCCAAGTTCGCATCATATTAGCGCTGCGGATCCTCAATATGATGCTTGACCCCTTGGTGGCCCAGCCAGCCAGGTCCACGGGGAGGGGGTAGGGGGAGGGGTAAACCCTTCCCCGAAGGGGAAGAGGGAGGGGTGGAAGAGGGAACGCCCTAAACCACCGATGCCCAGAGGGCTGGTGGGATTCTGCACCAAGATTCTCCCACTAAGGATTCTGAAGCCGTGCATCGACGCTCCGAAAGTTTATTCCGATTTGAAGGCACGGCGCCGCGCGAACGCAGCGCAAACGCAACGCTGGAAGGGCGCGGCAATGCATGCACCCTGGACAGGCGAGAGCAGCCGCGCCCCCGCGCGAATCCCGATCCTGCGCGGGGCGCGTTGACAATGGCTCACCCGGGAAGCCGCTTCTTATGCAGGAAGTTCTGAGCGGCTTGCCCATCGGCGGCTCCTTCGGACGAAGCCCCGAACCACCGAGAAACCGTTTTTAATTGGAAGTTCCAGGCGGTTCGCCCATGTTCGGTTTCTTCGGAGTGGGCCCGAAGACCACGAGAACTATGGTTTTGCAAAGAGTCCGAGGCGGTTTGTAAGTTCTCGGGTCGTTCGAACCGGACCCGAAATTTTTGTTGGCACGAGTCCCGTGGGATTTGGCCACATTAAGGTCGGCCGGTAAACTTTTCGGGTCGTCGCATAACCGAACCCGGAAGCTTTTTTCGAGGAGGTCCGATGCCGTTTGCTCATTTTCGGGTCAGTACACCACTTGTGATTTAGAATTTTGAATTGGGAAGGGGAACCCGGTCCCGCGACCCCGGGCGGGGGTCAGGCTTTGTTTTTGCATTGTGCTGGGCGCCTTCGGCCAAACGAGGTGCTGGGCTGCCCATCGGCGCGCTGGCTCTGCCCTCGCGACATCGCCCCCGTCCGCCCTCGGGCCCCGCGAGTCTGATCCTGCGCGCGCCACCCTAGATGGTTGCGGCGAGCACGGTTACGAAATTAGGGAAACTTTCGGATCGGCGCAGTATTCCCGTAGAGTCAAGTTTTTGATGTAAGTTGCTTTGAGTAACGACCCTTGTGTGATAATCCCGTAGTAAGGTTGTTTTTGTTTCCATATTGGTGTTGTTAGTAAGGACTATCGAGTAAGAGTCGCGTGGTCCGGGATCTTCATTCAGGTTCTTCTCGTAAGGACTCGTGAGTAATTCTCCCATGTGTCGAATTCTTCATTAAGCTTCCCCGAGTGAAGACTCTTGAGAAATACTCCCGCAGCAAAGGTTCTTTCCTTAGGTGCCCGTAGTAAAGGACTCTTCAGTGCGAGTCCCGTAGTAAAGGTTCAGTTCTTTCAGCAAGAACTTGTGACAGAGACTCCCATAGTAATGATTATTTTTCGGTTTTCCGAGTAAGAATTTTTGAAAGAAACTCCCACAGCAAGGATTTTGTATCTGGGTTCTCAGAATAAGGAGTTTTGAGTGAACCTCCCACAGTAAGGATTATCCACGATTGTTCTCTGAGGAAGGACTCTTGAGTGATATTCCTGTAGCAGGTCATTTCCATCCAGGTTTTTAGTAAGGAGTTTTGAATAAGAGTCCCTTGCTAATGATTATTGGTTAAGGTCCCCTAGTAAGGGTTATGCTGTAAAGGTTTTACATAAAATGGTTCCTGAGTTTACAAGTCTCTTAGTCAGGACTATTGAGTAACATTTTTTATTCGTATGGACTCCTCCTTATGGTGTCAAACTATATATATATATATATATATATCTATCAAGCTTGCGTGGAGACGACATGGCCTGGGAAGTTTCGGCGCTTGCAGGCGCCTTAGCATCTTCGATGGGATCTGGCAATCGAACCAATTCCCATTGGAGGCCGGCCCGGAAGCCGGTGCGATGCGATGCGGTGCCCCCCCCCCCGCGTTCCCCACAGGGGGCGTCAGAAACCCGGCGTACCTCCCGTGAGGGGCGACGGGGAAGCTCGCCCCATTGGAAGGGGCTCAGAAAACCAGTTTTTCCTTGTTGCTGGTTGTTGTTGTTGTTTGGCGTCGTCCCCCGTCTCCCCCGCGACTTGGCCCGCGACCCACCCGCGACCCACCCCGCGACCCACCCGCGACCCACCCGCGACCCACCCGCGACCCACCCGCGACCCACCCCGCGACCCACCCGCGACCCTGCCCGCGACCCGGCCCGCGACCCACCCGCGACCCATCCGCGACCCACCTGCGACTCACCCCCGACCCATCCGCGACCCATCCGCGACCGGGCCCGCGACCCACCCGCGACCCATCCGCGACACATTCGCGACCCACTTGCGACCCACCCCACGACCCACCAACACTGCTTTAGCTAAAAAATCGGCGCCTGCGGCGGGCTGGATGTGGAATCTGTGTAAAAATTTGGCGCTTGCGGCGGGCTTCTTCAGAGCCTCGCAGACTGCCGACGTTCCCGCCGCCCCCTTCACTCTTATCCGCAACTGTGGGGTGCTACGTATTTGCAGTGTTTCTTTATCTTTCTCTCTCTCTCTCTCTGTTTCTCTCTCTCTCTCTCTTTTCCTCTCTCGCTCGTCTTTCTCACCCCCGCCGCCCTCTCCCCCGTCCTCTCTGGCGGCGCCCCCTGGCGCTGCAGGTGGTGAGAGCCACTGTGATCACAGACGCGCTTTCCATCCAGGGCAAGGTGCTCAGGAGACTTGAGGCCAGTTCCGGGGGGCAGGGGCGACAGCAGCGAAGGCAGTGCTTGGGCGCGTCGGACAGAAGTCACGGGCAGGTCACCGAGCACCACGATCCACCCATTGTTGTCTGTGGGTTGTGAGGGGTCCTTCCTCGGTGATGCACATGGTCATGTGTCTTGCACCCGGGCACAATCAGATCAACCATCCGCGTGACTCGAGGTCGAGCGATCATGTGTCTCGCTGTGTTGGGGTTGAGCAGACAGTAAGCACACACAGGGCGGAGGAACGAACATGGTGAACTGGAGCCAGTAGGCCGATGAGGTGTTCTGATTCAAAAAAGAGGGCCAGGTGCTGTATCATCTGGATCGTCACCAGGGCCGCCGTTTCTGACGAGCTCTCCGACGTCGGCCGATCCCGCCTCCCCTCCCCCCCGCTGGACGCCATGGAGCAGTGGTTGCGCGGCTCAGGCGTGCACCTGCTGGAGCCTGACCCGGAGCTGCTGCGGCTGGGCGGCGTCACCGCTGTGCTGGGCGTCGCTTGCGGCGTCGGATTCGTCGTGGCGTACATCGGTCGGCTGGCCGCGACGGCCTGGCTGCGGCAAGAGTGGGCAGATTTCCTGCGGCAGCTGGTGACGACGGGCACCCTGGAGGCGTGCTCGATCTGTGCCGAGGAGGTGCCCCTCACTGCCTGGCACACAGCGACGATGCCCTGCTGTGGGGGCCGCCTGTGCTGGTCCTGCGTGCGCCGCCACGCGGAGAGCGTGATCGATGACGCCCGCCCAGAGATGCTGTGCCCGCTGTGCCACGACATAATGCCAGACCGGACCGTGTTGACGGCCATCCGGCGGGAGCAGTGGTCGTTGTGGGGCAGTGACCTGACCGGCGACCGGGCTCGCCGGAAGGCCCGCACCTACAAGCGGTGGGTGATATCGTGCGGAGTGGCCGCCACGTGCTCGGCGCGCTCGGAGGACGTGGTGCGCTGCCCCGGGGACGGGTGCAACCACATGCACGTGCTGCCCAGAGAGATGCGGCAGCAGAAGAGCGCCCACGAGCCCCGCAGCCCATGGAATCCGCGAGGGTGGGCCGTCGGCCGCCGCGCTGGCCTCTACGCCCCGGCCACGGACAGCGGGCGCGACATCCGGAGGGTGCATTGCGAGGCCTGCGAGCTGGATTCGTGCCTCGTGTGCGGGCTGCCCTGGGAGGCGCCCGGCGACGACGCAGGGTGCCACGACGGCAAGTCGTGCCGGGAGCACCGCGGGAGGTTCGCCATTCCTGGCCGCAACGCGGACGCGGGCGGCGCCAAGGCGTGCCCCACTTGCGGCGTGAACATCATCAGGTCGGCGGGCTGCAACCACATGACCTGCACGCAGTGCCACAGCGAGTGGTGCTGGGTGTGCTTGTCGCCGTGGACGCCGCGGCACTACGCCTGCGCGTGGGAGCTCGGCTGGGCGGAAGGCGATGATCCTCAAGACGTGTGCTAGTCCAATGTGCGTATGTCTGTTTACCCCGTTCGGCTCCTCCGATGGCATGCAGCCTACGCCGGCCCTCATTAACTACACCGCCTGCGTTTGGTTGAAGGGCTTCGATGGGCAAGCACACGTTGGCGCTGACACATGTTCTGAGGATCATCGAGAAAAGAGAGGTGGCAACGAGGCGGAGTCATGGGGATCAGGATGCAAAGATCCCCTTGCAGAGATTGTCATAGCGTTTTGAAAAGCTCTGCAACGGCCGCGGCGCCCTTGCATCCATCCCCTGGATTCGCCAGCTCTCACCTATTGCCGAGCTGTTTGTACCCAATTGGTTCGTGTAGTGCTCTCGTCTTACGGGTGGTCCCTGCCAGAAGATTTAATTGTCGTCGGACACGCTCGAAGCGCTTCCTGGGCGTCTCAGAGACGTTCCAGGGTCGTCCTGTCATCATCATTTCCCCCTAGCTTTGTTGATGCGCGGTGCCGCAACTTGCGGGACCTATCTATTCTTCCCATCTCCTCATTCTCCCTCCTTCCCTCCTCATCCTTATCTTCCTCTCCTTCTCCTCACAAATCCCTCCTCCCTCCTTCCTCGCTTCACTCAGCCTGCCCCCTTCTCATTATTACCCCTACTTGTGTCTCTTCATCCTCCTCCACCTCCTCCTTGCGGTCCTCTGCTCGCGAATCGGCCTGTGTGTTTGGATGGTTGCTCGAAGATGAGTATGTGCTGCTTGATAGCTCCAGAATAACCCTGGGAAGCAAATGTCGGCCCTCCCATTTTTACGGAGAAATGATATCAGCACCACCCCTGGAAGTGATGCCCCTGGCCCCGGCCCCTGAATTTGAAGATGTGTTCCTCGCATTCGCGCCGCGCACATGCGTTTCAAAGTTTGAAAGAGTGTCACGGATGGATGGCGGGTCGTTTTCAACATGTGTTTCTTGCATTATCGCCGCGCACATTCGTTTCAAACTGTACCAAATGGAGGGTGGGGCCGTTTCGGAATGTGGTTATCGTTTTAGCCTCGCGCGCATTCGTGTTAAAAGTTCTCATGAGTTTCATCGATGGAGGGCGGGTCTGATTCAGAATCTGGGTATGGCCTTGGTGTCGAGCACATTCGATTTCAATTTTCCCGGCAAAGCAACCTAACAGCGATGTGTAGGAGCATATCTGGAAGCATTCCCCTTAAGATTCAGATGATAATCCTGTTGTAGAATGATGCTGTTCTCGCACTGGTAGTCGAATTCGCGATGGCAGTCGCAGTGGCAACGGCAGTCGCAGTCACAGCCTCAGCCTCAGCCTGCCTCAGCCTCAGCCTCAGCCTGCCTCAGCCTCAGCCTGCCTCAGCCTCAGCCTCAGCCTGCTTCAGCCTCAGCCTCAGTCTGCCTTCAGCCTCGGCCTCAGCCTCAGCCTGCCTCAGCCTCAGCCTGCATCAGCCTCAGCCTCAGCCTCAGCCTGCCTCAGCATCAGCCTGCCTCAGCCTCAGCCTCAGCCTGCCTCAGCCTCAGCCTGCTTCAGCCTCAGCCTCAGTCTGCCTTCAGCCTCGGCCTCAGCCTCAGCCTGCCTCAGCCTCAGCCTGCATCAGCCTCAGCCTCAGCCTCAGCCTGCCTCAGCATCAGCCTGCCTCAGCCTCAGCCTCAGCCTGCCTCAGCCTCAGCCTCAGCCTGCTTCAGCCTCAGCCTCAGTCTGCCTTCAGCCTCGGCCTCAGCCTCAGCCTGCCTCAGCCTCAGCCTGCTCAGCCTCAGCCTCAGCCTCAGCCTGCCTCAGCTCAGCCTGCCTCAGCCTCAGCCTCAGCCTCAGCCTCAGCCTCAGCCTCAGCCTCAGCCTCAGCCTCAGCCTCAGCCTCAGCCTCAGCCTCAGCCTCAGTCTGCCTTCAGCCTCGGCCTCAGCCTCAGCCTGCCTCAGCCTCAGCCTGCATCAGCCTCAGCCTCAGCCTCAGCCTGCCTCAGCTCAGCCTGCCTCAGCCTCAGCCTCAGCCTGCCTCAGCCTCAGCCTCAGCCTGCTTCAGCCTCAGCCTCAGTCTGCCTTCAGCCTCGGCCTCAGCCTCAGCCTGCCTCAGCCTCAGCCTGCATCAGCCTCAGCCTCAGCCTCAGCCTGCCTCAGCTCAGCCTGCCTCAGCCTCAGCCTCAGCCTGCCTCAGCCTCAGCCTCAGCCTCAGCCTCAGCCTCAGTCTGCCTTCAGCCTCGGCCTCAGCCTCAGCCTGCCTCAGCCTCAGCCTGCCTCAGCCTCAGCATCAGCCTGCCTCAGCATTCAAAATGTGGCCCGGGAATGGAGTTGTGGGAACTCGAAGAACACGAAGTGGCCTACAGTTGGCTCCGGGCATTCAAAGTCATGCCCAGGAATGGAGTTGTGGGAACTCGAAGAACACGAAGTGGCCTACAGTTGGCTCCGGGCATTCAAAATCATGCCCAGGAATGGAGTTGTGGGAACTCGAAGACCACGAAGTGGCCTACAGTTGGCTCCGGCCATTCAAAATGTGGCCCGGGAGTGGAGTTCTGGGAACTCGAAGAGCACGAAGTGGCCTACAGTTGGCTCCGGGCATTCAAAATGTGGCCCGGGAATGGAGTTCTGGGATTTCGAAGAACACGAAGTGGCCTACAGTTGGCTCCGGGCATTCAAAATCATGCCCGGGAATGGAGTTCTGGGACCTCGAAGACCACGAACTGTGTAACTGTTTGCTTAAATCTACTTCCGCGGCCCGCACCCCCCTGGGGCGTCAAGATGCTCTCTTTTGACCCCACTAGAAACCTATCAGTCTTCGCTGTTAGGTAAAATTCGCAGGAGCTTCACGGATGGAGGGCGGCTCTTATCCAAATTGTGTTTCTCGTTTAATTTCCGCGCATATGTTTTTCAAACGTGTGAAATGGTTTCAATGATTCAATATGTGTCTGTCGCCGTAGCACCACGCACAGTCGTTTCAAAAGTTCTCGGCCGCTTCACGGATGGAGGATCGGTCTTTTGCAAAATGTGGTTCCCGCTTCAGCGCCGCGCACATTCGTTTACACGTTTACCAGAACTTCACGGGTGGAGGGCAGGTCTTTGTCAACATGTGATGATTGTTTTAGCGCCGTAAACATTCGTTTTCAAGCAAAACAGAAACGGTTTCACGGATGCAGGGCGGGTCGTGTTTGAATGTCGTTTGTCGTTTTATCGCAGTGCATGTTCGTTTGAAACATTCGCAAGCGTTTCACGGATGGAAGGTGGATCCGTTTCGAAATGTGGTTTTCGTTTTAGCATTGCGCAAAGCTCGTCGTAACGGTTGCAAGGATTTCACGGATGGTCTTGTTCAAATCGTGGTTACCATTTTAGTGCCGCGCGCATTGGTTTCAAAAAGGAGTTGCACGGGCGGAGGGTGGGTCGTTGTTCAACATGTGGTTCTCGCTTGATTCGCCGTGCGCAATCGTTGGTTAAAGTTTGCAAGAGCTTCACACATGGAGGGTGGGTCTTTTTCAACATGTGGTTCCCGAATGAGCCCCGCGCACATTCGTGATTCAAGCTTGCAAAACTTTCAAGGGTGGAGGGCGAGTCTTGTTCAAGATGAGGCGGTCGCCTTAGTGCCGCGCGCATGCGTTTCAAAAGTTTGCAGCAGTTTCACGCATGAAGGGCGGGTCTTGTTTATACTGCTTGGGGCACCAGCGTGGAATATTTGATTGTGGCACCGTGCGCGTCCGCGTGCACAAAACAGTCACAATAAAGAGTTGCCATCTTAATTTAAACAGCTGGACGGTGATCGCCAAGTGCTTCATTCGTGTTCGCATGGCTTCAGCGTGTAATACTGCACTGTGGGACGATACGGGGTCCGTATTGCCCCCGCGTGCGTGTGTGCGCCCCCGCGTGCGCAATGTAGCATAACAAATGACCATCTTAATTTCGAAAACTGGATGGTGACACCCTATTGCCCCAGACGTGTCATGGGGGGGCGCAGCATGGAGAGACACGCATTACTTCGCAAGACGTGTTCTTCATTGTTCGCACGCGCGCGTACAAGCGAGTGTGGACAATGATGAACAAGATGACGCCACAGAGCATCGGCATCATTTTTTGGCGTTCGTATTACGCACGCGAGAGCGCACGCACCTGCGCGCACGAGCAATCAGGAAAGTGCATGTTGTCATCATACAATGTTTCACTTCAGGCCGCCTGGATACGAAGCTGCGTCTGCCATTCCGTCTGGAGTGTTGCATTGCGCGCACGCGCGAGCAATAAGCAACGCGTACCATTTCAGAATGCATTATTTAGTGTTGGGGTTTTCAACATACGGTTGAGACAATGGGTTATCACGATTCAAACAGTTGGTGTTCACCATTCAGCGTTGCATTGCGCGCGCACGTGCGGGCGACAAGGAGAGCGCATTGTGACACAATGTATATGTTCATGTTGAGGCTTTTAAAACACGAGTGGGTCAACGTGTTGTCACCCTCCAATTTTCGAAGTGAAGATGGCCATTGCCTACGCGTGTATTGCGTGTGCGAGCAATCTAGTAAGTGCATTGCGCCACAATGCATTAGTCCACGCTTAGGTTGCAGAGCGCGAGTGGAACAGTTGGTTTCCACCACCCAGCTTCTAACATTAAGTGTGCCATTCCCGATTTGTTTTCGACTTGCGCACGAGATAGTGCGGGCAACTATGTATAATTACATGATGGGGCCTCCAGAACACAAGTGAAACACTTGGTTTTGACAGTTGTGATTTCCAAGCTAAGTTGGCCATTCACAATTGACTGCTGCATCGCACACGCGCGCGAAATACGAAACAAAACGCACTATGCCACACTGCACCTTAACATAGTGCGCCGCAGTACAAAATAGAATGCTGCGCGCGCCCGAGTGCTTGCCGCCTCAGGGACTCGGTGTTCCCGGGTCAGTTAATAACTTGCGTTCACGCAATCAGCTAACCCAGCGAGCCTTCAACATTGCGCTCGAATGCAGAGGCCGAATCTACAGAACTCCTCATTTGTTTAGAAGTCACCCACCTCTGCCGCGTCAAACCCCCGCGTTCCCCCGACCCCTCAGTCCCAAGGAATTTCGGAATACGGGTGATAA